TAACTAATCCTTCTTGTTCCTTATTGTTTTACCTTGTCTTCTTTATTAACTCTAACATTTGTGTGTTTCTTGATCATTAAGAAACTATTTATACTTAGTTTTAAGGTATCCGATTCACACCATAATCTTTTTCCATAGTCTTAATTTTAATTTATAGAGACGTAGTTTCTTTCGTTTGAGATGATATTGTTTTGTACAAAATTTTGCATTCGTTAAGAAGTTCATCAATAGCCCTTTGAGCATCATTATCATAAATGGAAAATTCAGTACTAACCTCTTCTTCCTTATCAGAATGGTGTGAAGCCATCAATGCTAGATTTGCACATTTGTTACCATCCAAATATGATGAAGAATCATTATCATCCCATGCTATATAGGCTTTCTTGTTTTTATTTTCCTTTTTATTCTTGAAACCACCTTTCTTGAGAAGTTTTGAATAATCCGTCTTAATATGGCATTGTTTACCATATTTATAACAAGTGACATTAGGTGTTGAAGTATAAGCCTCTTTTTACCTGAAATATTTCTTCCTTTTTGCATAATTGAAAGATTTATCATTTTTATTAAAGAATTTACCAAGTCTCTTCACAAGAAGCATGCAGTTCTCATCCTCTTCAGGAGCATCATCTATTTCTTCTCTTGATTCGAATTTTAAAGCGATACTTTTGGATTTCTTTTCTTGATGTTCATGTTTTTTTAGTTGTCCAAGTTCTAATTAATGTTCTTGGAGTTTCCTGAACAACGATGCATACATCATGGTTGAAAGTATTTTCTTCTTAGATATTATTGTCACTTTAGGTTGTCATTCCCTCGTTAATGATCTAAGAACTTTAAGATTCAATCCATCATTAGAAAATGTCTTACCAAGAGCGATCAAATAATTTGTTAAATGCACGAATCTTTTTTGCAAAGCGATAATGGATTCTCCGGGCTTCATTCAGAACATTTCGTATTCTTGACTTAATGTATTCAATCTTGGCCTTTTAACTTCAGCGGTTTCTTAATGAGTCTCCACCAAAGTGTCCTAAATTTCTTTTGCAGATTTACATTGAGAAATGCAAAAGAATTCATCCATACTTAGTGCGCTTTGTAGTATGTTAATGACTTTCTTTTCATTAAGGACCTTCTTTTTATCATCTTCATCATAAGAACTTTTAGTCTTTGGAGTTCCGACACCATTGATGACACTAATAGGATTATGTGGACCACTTTCGATGGTTTCCCAAATTCCTTCTCCCTGTGCTTCTAAATGTGATTTCATATGAATTTTATAGAAGTCAAAATATTCTTTAGAGAATAAAGGGGGTTTATTACTACTACCACCATCTTTGGAAATCAGGTTAGCGCTTGTGGAAGCCATACTGGAACGATAGGAATATGTTACCTATAACCTGCTCTGATGCCAATTGTAAGTAGAGTTTGCACCTAAGAGGGAAATGTGAATTATGTACTTTGAAATTTTTCTAGATTTTAATTTATGTGATTATTACTTTCCTGATTAATTACTAAGTGATGAAAGCGGTAAAGTGCGGAAAGTAAAGAACACCGAGAGATATCCTAGTTCCCCTCACAATCCGAGAGTACTCCAGTCCCCTTTCAACATGAAAGAGATTTTTACTAGTGTTAGATCTTATGGACAAGACAATACTTAACTTCCTATACAAATTCTAACAACAACAATTACCAAGAACAATCCTCTTGTATTTTTACAAAAGTTCACTAAGAGAACAATCCTCTACTTAATGAACCTCTTGCTTCCAACAATCCTGGACAATAAGGATACAACAATAATTTTGAATTTTTATACAAGAGTTTGATATGAATTTTACCCTTATCAATCTATTGATTTATCTTCCCCTTTAAGCAAACAAATTTCTCAATGATATGCAAGTGTTCATAATGTATGGAATGAAACTTATGACAAATTTTCAATGAAAATTACGTGCTGAAAGTTTCAATAAAAGTTCACTTTTGGAACACTAGAGATTTTGAAAGATGAAGAAATTTCTGAATGTTTGAACTTATTTACAAAGAAGGTGAGTTAAAAATCTGAAGAAATGATGTATATATAGCCACAATACACCTCTACAAACAAGTGCAACAAATGAAAGGATGCCATGCTTCACAAACCAAGTTTGAAAATCATTTGAATGAAAAAATGCAATTTTTTCTGGCACTGATACAGTGGTAATCGATTAACATATAATGGTTAATTGATTAACACCTTTAAAACGTACTAAAATATTCAAAATTTACACATGTTAATTGATTAACATATAATGGTTAATCGATTACAAGAAGCCCAAAATGCAAAAATGGTTTAGAACAAAGAGGAAAAGCAATGTTTTAATGCAACCAAGCATTTTAATGGTTCATGGCATGATTGAATGGCAACTTGAACACTTGTATACACGAAGAAAAGTTGAGTGCTATATACCTTAACATTTAAGTTCAATCACTAAGAAAATCTTCAAGACTTGATTTAAACTTGAAACTTAAATTGTGCTAGGAGTATTGAACCATTTCATTTTTGTCAATACTTAAACTTGCTTGTAGAATCTTGTCTTCATCAAAACACTTTGAGAAACTTGTCTTCATAAAATGGTCTTGCCATTAGGAGGATATGAAGAGATAAAATGAATAAGTTAACACATAAATGATGAAAATATAAGGTGATGAAGCTTTAAGGTGGTATTTTAAAACATTGGAAAATGATGAATGAAGAAATACGTTACCAAATTTGTGAATAGAGGGATAAAGATGAAAGAGAATCGAGTTTCACCGATGAGGATGTAAAAGACAATGAACATACATGAATAGCTTCAGGCGTGCGTAACAAAGTATTGGGAAAAATGACATAGACTTCTAGGCATGACAACATAACTCATACCCGCGAGTACTCACCCGAACTCGCCTCGAAGTTGACTGGGAAAACTCGCTTTGACTGGGTTTGGGCTTGGGTCTTTCCCAATTAAATAACACGGGGACGAGTCAGGTATTGGGGACACTAGTACCCACCCCGAACCCGCCCCGTTTACTTCATTATGTACATTATTATTTAGTTTTGTTAATTTTAAATATTAAATATGTGGTCAATGTTTTGATATTTTGATTTGTATTAGTTATTTAAAATATTTGGAATGTACATATGAAATTTTTTGAGTTTGTTTTATTTTATTATTTGTAATGTAATTTGATTTTCGAAAAAATAAATATTTCTATTAAAAAAATTGATTTTACTAAATGGATGGTGGCGGGACGGGGATACCCGAACCCAACCAAACCTTTTTGGGACGAGTTTGAGTTTTAATTCTCCATCCCCGTTTGAGTTTGGGGAGGAGAATGTGAATTGTTTGGGAATTCAAGTTTGGGTTTAGGTAGAAGTAAAAATCGTCCTCGATCCTCCCAGTTGTCATGCCTAGACTTGAGATGGTATGTTGTAATAGGTTAAGGTTATAAAGGGATCAAATGGAACATAACCAGTTTTGCAGCTTCAATTGCCCAAAAGGAAGAGAAAACGTAATGCAACAAATTGTGATGGTTAGAAATAAACTATATATCGAATTAGTTGGAAGAAGTAATTTTAAGACATAAAAAAACCCTCATTTTTGACACACGGCAGATATAAGGATGAGGTAAAAATGGATTTTCCATAGCCATTAATATTCTTATATTATAAATT